GCTTACACCTTTCTCACTCTGCCACTGACCTCCTTCTCCCATTCAGCCACCAAGACCTACTCATCTGACCTCATATCAATAAACTTTTAGCCTCAGTGGGTCGATGCCCTTGGGGGCCGTCACCAGGCATGTTGTGGATAGACAACATGTGGATGGACTGTGGGCAGACAGGAAGTGATGTCAAGAGAGGAACATTCGCTCACATATTAGGTGTAGCCACTCCAAATAGCCGCTTCCTATTCTGACAGCTTAAAAGGCTGTAGCGTTAGCATTAGCATTTTACCCTCACTTTAACCACACTTCCGATCCCACTACTCTATAATGGGCTTCCTGGCTCACACCCAGGGCCAGTCTCTCAGCTGCACCCACCCCCCCCCCCCCAAAAAAAAAGAAAAGCAGCACCCAGAAATAAGTATTGTGCTACAGTGTGAACCATATCTGTCACATGGGTGGAGATATTTTATCAGATAGGGAAGCTGTATTTGGAGGGTGTGCTGTTTTTGGGGAGTGAGTGGATGTGTAGGGTGAGACTGACATGGGGGGGGCGGGGGCGGTCTTACAGGTCTCTTCATTAAGAAACCATCAGATGCTAAGAAGCATCAAAAAAAAAATCCTTCATATGCCGGTTTAGCACAACATCCACCCACTGAACATTTTCTGTATTATGTTTTCACAATTAATTACTGTCTAGTGTCACAGTCTCACCCACTGCCAGCAGCTCTGTCGCAGTGCCGCACCTTCAGAAGCCGGCTTCCAGCCCAGTACCCCCCCACAAGCTGCGTGACCCACATCATATTACAGGCCATGCCCAAATCTGATCCCACCCACTGCAGACCATATGACCGGGCGGGGGGGGTGTACACCAAGGCGGCCTGGAAAAAGAGGTGAACTAACTTTTATAATGATCTTCCCTTCCTGCAGAGGAAGCCCTGAGCCGTGCAGGCGTTTTGCTCCTTTGATACTCCACTGGGCAAGCCTTGGGACTGGGGAGGAGCTCGGTCGATGCGTAAGTCCATCGCATGCATGATAACGGCAGTGTTGTTCGTCTCTCCCATCCACAAACAGGTGTCTCAGAATGAGCACCGTAACAGGCAGGCTCTGCTCATGTTTCCTCATGGTTAAACTGAAACCAAGGTTCAGAGCTGGCGGTTTTGTCCAACTGACAGCAGCAATAACTTCAGCAGTATGGAATATCACCACCGATCAGATACAATAACGAGATATAAATAACAGATACAAGGTACATCTCCAGAGGCTCATGCTGAATGTTGTGAGGATAGGTCTGGTTTTGGACATGGAAACAAACACAAATGAGTTTCACAACAGAGTTGAAATATATCTTTCCCTGGAACTGTAACATGCCTTTTTCTCAAAACCGTGACGCAAACGTCCAGGTTAAACGCAACGGAAAATTACAGCCTGTGAAATTACAGGGAGCCTATGCTGCTTATAAGAATATGTCAGTAATTGATTTTAAAACTACAGCCAGGAGCTGCATGCTTGCTACAGTACCATGCTCCATGATGGGGTGGAGTTAGTGCTGAGGCCAAGGGGGGTAATGCAGAAATGGGCACACAGAGAGCATGTGAGCCACTTTTATTACGTTTATATCTATGTATTTAGCAGATGCTTTGTAAGTATAAGTGAGGCAAATACCACACATTGCATGTAGCCACGATTGTGCCACAGGACCAAAATGTGTCTGTAAACAGGACACAGAGCATTCCAGCTGAGATACACACACTGCGCATGCCTGGCTGTACCCCTTCCCGTAGGTATCTTTCTGCATCTTAATGACACCCCCCCCCTTCTTCAGAATGACCAATTCATTGTATTAAATCAGGCCTTCTTGGGCTAAAATGTTCTGCCTTAGTTTAGCCAAATTGGACTGTCATCCAGCTGGTTCCAGAAGCAGAGGAAACCACAGGAGATAAGGGCTGTTTGATATCATCAACCTCAGTCTCCATGAGTCACTGTCAGCTTTTTCCATGCACGTGCTCAATCCTCCCTACAGCACTGCACACTGGCCATACTGTAAGCTGGTCCTCAGATCCTCTCCTTCCTACAGCACCTAAATGGCCAAGATATCTGGTAGACATGGAGATGGACAGCTATTATAAGAATGCAACTGATGGATTAAAATGCAGTGTTTCTGTAGACAGTCTGGCAGGGCTTATGGTCTCAAAGCCATGCAAGTGTCAGCCCAGCCATTGGGATTGCAGGTTCCGCTGGAGGAATCATCATCATGAACAGAACCTCCCTGGTTTCCTGCAGCTGATGTCACATGCCATATATGGGCAGCCTGCATCGCACGTTACTTACAGAGCAGGGATGTCAAACACATGTCTATGGAATCAGCAGTCAATGAGTACAGCTGCTGTATCGAAGGAGTTACTCTTAATCCTTGGCTATGGTATCCTATTCTGATATCTGGCCATGAAGCAAACATCTGAGTCATGAATTGCACTGATTACAAAAATCTTAGGAGCAGTTAAGCACTAATTGTTGGGCTGATGTAAATACACTGCCGATGGAACCAAGCTATGCACTTTTCAATTTTTTTTTCCAAAAACAGCCCTTCTGACAGCGTCTCTCTTATCCTTGTGATACTTGTTTGGCTGTAACACAAATGCTTGAACACTGACCTTGATGAAGCAGATATATATATATATATATATATATATATATATGTGTGTGTGTGTGTGTGTGTGTGTGTGTGTGTGTGCGTGTGTGCGCACAGGGGAGAACGCGCAACGGATGGCCTGGGTTGGCGCAGCGCCGTCTACTTTTCCCCCGAAGGAGACTGAGCTCCAGGACCAAGGACAGCGCGCGTGCAGAGCGCGTGCCCTGCGCCTGTTACTGAGCAGCATGAAAGAGTGGCTTCACTGCCTTTGCACTGACATTGCATGCGCACGTTATGGTAGAACAATTTGGAGCTTTCTTTTTTTTTTTACAAGCAGCCCTCGAATGCAGATATTCTGAATACATATTTATAATTTAAGTAAATATAACCTCGTAATCCGGTGCCCCACCTTCCGGAGGCAATTATGCCTTTAATTTCGCGTTTGCATATGGAAGGAAACTTGTGAATTGATAAAGATTGTGGGTGCGGGGAGAGGGACACTCCTCTTTGCTGACGAAAGCAAAATGCAGATATTATAAGTGTCACTTATGGATCCCATATTCTGCTGCTTCCTACGTCAACAAGCCGACATTGGAATAAATGAGTTGTGAGTTTGTTTCTGAGATAACCTTGTGTCATTTTATAAGGTGATTTGCGCCCCCTCCCCCTCCCCACACCCCCACCCGATCTGATCATCAGTAAAATGAGAAATTGTAAACGAAGGGCGAACAACAGAGCAATACGCCTATACGATACAGTGATAAGCTGTATGACTGTAGTGCCGTTAAGCATATTACTTATAGGACAGATTTGCAGTGGTTGCACTGTTTGCAACGGTACAGTCAAAGAGAAGTGTTTGTGGTGTGTTATAAGGGAAGCGCTGGGACGCTCTTGAACAATGCTGATCCACTTCTTTAAATCCCCAAAACTCGCGCTATAAAATGGTGAGGGTCTTTAAGGAGAAGTAATTACCTTGCCTATTATGACTGCACAGAACCGGGCACCAGGCGTCTGTTAAAAGCAGCCCACTGCCCCACTGATAATCCTTCAGAAAAGAGGAGCCGGACTGGGAAGAAGGGGGAAGTGGCCGGGAGAGGAAGCTGCCGGGGGAGGGGTCGCCGATAGGGAGCGGGGGAGCGCACGTCTCCTCATCCACTCCGCCGCTAGACTCACAGCTGGCGAGACTGCCCGACAGAGTCGCACCGGTGGCCGCGGACACTGCGGGAAAAGCAGTCGGGATGGATTACTAGCGGTCGGTGTCTGCTTCTTTCCGCGTGTGACATCGTCCTCAATGTCTCTCAACATTTTTTAACAAAACGAAAGATGAAAATTACTTGGAAACAGCTTCCCTTGGTATTTTCCGTTTTTTGGGGGATAACTATGGGCGCCTTTCCGAGCAGCGTTCAGATCGGTAAGTGCGTCCGCTCGGGCATTATGCTGTTTTTTAATCTTGCATGATTCCTAGTAAATATGTTCCATAAATTCGTGAGAATAACAGAAGAGTGACTATGGTGTAGCCTATGTCTTCTTAAATATTTTAATCGCTAAAGATATAAAGGAAAAATAATTGACCGAGATGGATTGTAAAGTAAAAGCCGCATGCAGGTCGCCTGCGTCCTGCGCACCAAGCCGCACATAGCGGTCCGAGCGACGCGTCTGCCTGCTGCTCCTGGCGCGTTCCCCGTGTTCCCAGCTCATTACTGGCTTTTAAAGCGCCACTGCCGCATTCCAGTTACCAGCCTGCTATGGGATGTTCTCCCTGCACCAGTTACCGCCTGTGTCTCCAGTGTATATTGTAAATACCGTGTGAATCTGGACATAAGTCTATTGTCTTGTAGAGCAGCATTTCTTCTTCGCCTTCCACGGGGTGATTTCATTCACTCTAGTGCCACATCATTCTTTGTGAAGTACGGGCGGCTGCTCATATGGGATCCTTGTAGCTTACTTTCTGATGATGGAGATACAGCTGATGTGGTTTGCAGCATGAATGGTTTCATGGTTTCAGTTTTTTTTTTTTTTTACTATCACCACAAATTCTGTTTAACAAATAACCAATTTTAAAAAAACCGCAGCATTTATCTCGGGAAAATCTGGCACGGCTCTGATCCAGTTGAATGCACTCGCTTGGCTTCAGCTGCCCTTGGAATAATTGCACCGTGCAGCAGATTTAACAGCAGATTTCACGGCTGTCGCTGGTGTTTTTGACTAAGACGTGTCTTCACATCTGTCACGGCAGGCGGGCTTTTCATCAGAAACACGGACCAGGAATACACCGCATTTCGCCTAGCCATATTCCTGCACAACACCAGCCCAAATGCGTCGGAAGCACCTTTTAACCTGGTTCCTCATGTGGACAACATCGAGACTGCCAACAGCTTCGCCGTGACCAATGCCTGTGAGTAGCCTGCACTTAAATCCGTTTCTGGGGGGTGTGTTCTCATTAAGGACTATGGGCCAAAGGTGAACGGTCACAAGGGTAGTCAATGTGATCTGTCAATCTCTTCACTGTGCAGTGTATACTTTATTGACGTCTTTCTTGGAATGTTGCGCAGTTGATGAAACTGTCATCACTCCTGCGTGAATGACACCAATAACACTGACCAATTTACAGTACATATTCTCCTTTTTAGTTACTGAAACCAGCCACTTTCTCTTCTCTGTATAACTATAATATGTGTGTGTGCACCTGTCTTTTTAAGTCATGCTCCTCTCAGGCTAGGTCAGGCTCATTCAAACAGTTGGATTCATATAAACTATATCAGGCTAAATCAGCTTCAGTCAAACAAACTCAGTCGAAACTGGGTTTACTCGTACAGGATTAGTTAGTTAGGTTCAGTCTTACAGGATCAGTTAGGAAGGCTCAGTCATACCGACTCAGTCTTACAGGATCAGTTAGTCAGGCTCAATCAAACAGGTTCAGTTGCACCAGATCAGTTAGTCAGACTCAGCTAGACATGCTTAGTCATACAGGACCAGTTAGTCAGGCTCAGTTAATCAGGCTCAGTCATATAGGCTCAGTTGTACAGGAGCAGTTAGCCAGGCTCAGTCATACAGGATCATTTAGTCAGGCTCAATCATATAGGCTCAGCTTTACAGGAGCAGTTAGTCAGGCTCAGTCATATAGGAGCAGTTATCCAGGCTCAGGTTTCCAGGCTCAGTTTTATGGTCTCAGTGGGTTATGCAGGCAGCTGATGACTTCAGATCTCTTTACATACAAATTCATTTTACAGCAGAAACAGCAGCAGTGCCTCAAGCATTCTGTATCTTCTTGCCCTTTAATGTTTAATGATGTGCTCCCCCCCCTCCCCCTCCCCCAGCACTCAGGCCTTAGGGTCATGTCACCAAACATAATGCTCGCAGGTTGCCTGCCCAGCCCGTATGTGGCTAAGGAGGGTGGGTCTCTGTTAGTGTCTGTGTTTGTCGCCATTCTGCAGCGAAAGTAAAATTTGTCTGCTTTCATCTGTTCTCTTATGCTTTGACCTTGAGTACATCTGCAAGGTTATTCCTTTGGGGTGAGCTTGGAATAAACTCCTAAGGGTCCACCTTATGTTCTTTAATTAACCTAATTTTGGTTTCTTTTGGTCAAAATAAAACAAACAATTAGCTGATTAACCAGACCACTCTAATTTAGTCTGTTAATTTTAAGGTTGAATAAGATGGGTTGCTAAATTATAATAGAATTTTTATTTTTGAGAGCAGGTAGTCGGCTATGCTGCCATCCACACATTTGACACAGGTTCTGCAAATGTCTTCTTCTTCCTATGACATTATTTTTCTTGGTTGGTGGCTGTGAATCGTGCATTTTACCAGGCTTGTTTGGTCTGTTATCATGGAGCCTTTATATGCCATTTACCTGATATCAGTTATTTACATAGCATCCATTTCAAAGCTACAAGAACCTACTGCTATTACAGCCATATGGGAACAGGAATCTACACAAATTGTTTCCCATTGTAGAATACCTGAAACTAGACACAGTAACCTTATACTCAGAAGTCGTCACCCATCTTAGCACTTTCATGCGCTTCCATGCATGAAACAGTTCAAAACATGGAAGAATTTAAGCTCAGATGCAGTGAGATGTGGCATGCGAGCAGTGATGGGACAGGCCAGCCGAAGCTGGGTCTGTGACAGAACTGTCACAACGGCACCTCCCAGTGCACAGCTGCACAGGTGAAGATCATGCAATGTAGTCAGCACAGGAAACATAGATAAAGGGAAGCCAAAGGTGGGAGTAGGTTGTGATGTCTGTAGGACCTCCCAATCCCCCCCCCCCCCCCCGCCCCATACTAGGATGTAGTGGACAGGGTTTGGTGAGCATACTGGGTCTGATCTTTGATGCACTGGGAGACGTGGAGGGAAACTGTATGGAGATAAAGGTGGAGGCTGGACAGAATTGCAGATGAAGGCACCTATCAAGTGGAGGGAACTTGGAACCTTGTAAAACTCCTCTTCAGCAGCCAGGTTTTATTTAAAAGATCCTCGAACAAAGTGACCTCCGGTCAGACTGCGGTGTCTCCTGCCACACGCATGTGCTACATGGATAGCCGGCAGCACAGAGCACAGGCCACGTTGGGGTGGAAGCTGTGTTCTGCGGCCGTCACTCTGCAGCCCCTCCCTCTCTCTCTCTCTCTCTCTCTCTCTCCCTCTCTCTCTCTCACCCTCCCTTCTTGCTGCAGTTGCCTGTGTTGTCACTGGCAGCAGTGAGATTAAAGGAGGGAGGAACTGCGTAGAATGAAAAACGAGGGGCTAGCTGAGGGACGCAGGCGAACTGAAGCTGCAGCTCCTTTCCACAAAATAATGAAACACAAGTGAATATGCAGCAAAATCCCTGTGCGGCTGGAGGGAGGGGGCATGCGTGACTCACCCCCCCGCCGTCCCTCAGGCGATGATAGCATTAACAGCAGTCTCCATATTAATTCACGGTATGCAGGCACTCAGGGGGACACGTCTTGGCCCTAGAGCTGTATTCCGGGCCATTTTCATCACAGTCATGAGGCAGCCGCTATCGCATATAGTTCGGCCGCAGAGGGATGTGGCGGTCCGGCCCGTTGGCGTACCTTCTGAATGGTTATCAGGGCCATGACGCTGGCAGACACTATGTCAGGCAGGTGCCGCTCTTCTGCCGAAGGGTGGTTTTCCTCTACAGCCTCCTGATGTTCTAATCATGGTATTAAAGGGTCTTATGGAGTCGTTCACTTTCTGGAACCGTGTTTTGCTGCTACTCGTCAGATGATGACAATCATGGAACCTCGCAGGTCAATGGGATTAAAGGATCTGGATCTAAGAGCCCCAGGTTGAGGAGAACCACAGCAAGATGGGCTCTGACGGCAGTGCTACCACTGGGAGCAGATGTCAAACAGATGCCCCTGTATTAAGGTCTACATGCTCACACAGAGACTACCCTGTATTAAGGTCTACATGCTCACACAGAGACTACCCTGTATTAAGGTCTACATGCTCACACAGAGACTAACCTGTATTAAGGTCTACATGCTCACACAGAGACTAACCTGTATT